GGGTATACCCATCGACATTTTGATACCTTGGAAACGGGTTTATATGCGGGTTTTGCCAGCTTTTGATTACAATTATTACATTACCCATTAATACATCATCAGCACGAACTTTAACTTTTTGGCAGTTAATGGACTTAAAGATACCTCTACCTGCCGCAAGGTGTTTACCTAAAGTAGTTGAAGCTGCAGATCCTACATTTAATCAGATAGCAATAGATATATTTTTCACAAGATTATGGATGTTACGAATGAATTTTTGAGTGATTGGTAAGGTAATGTTTTTAATGACTATTTCAGTCTAAAGAAATTCGCATTCTTTGCTGACGTTGCTAACAACGTATTCAAAGTAAAGATTATTATAGTACCTAGTAATTCCCCAGATATAGCATAGTAGATTTTTTTTTGCAAATAATTCTAAGAATTCTTCTACACTTCAATTTAAGTCGCCGTATTGACATATGTATAAGACGCGCTTAGAGAAGAAGGTTTGAATATCGGGTGAACACGGAAAAATCCGGTCAACTTTAAATTAAGACTACACTAAAACCACACATGCTTTTTATTTCTTTTATATCTTAATTAAACGTTACTTCCTTTTCTTTAATTGTGTTGATAAACTTTTTTTTACAAATGTTTATGATTTTCAAAATGTTATGGAAACAAGTTGAAGTGCAAAAAAGTTCTGAATTTTTTTTTGCAAAAATCCATCGACCCTATATTGCTTGATTGCTAAACGTACAAATGTTTCCAAAACAAGAGAGAACAGAATGCTAAGGTGACGCATAAAAACATTTCACAGTTGCAGTTTTTATTTATGGAGCACACTGTATCTTATTTACATTCGGCCCCACCTTGAGTTAGCTGTGTAAGTCTGTGCAAGTCGCCGCATGTAAAGTCCAACCTTGTCATCCTCGAGCAAACCCAACATCGAGCAACAAAAACAATATCATCTATTAAACACCTGTCTTATAAAATCGGCTCCAACAGCTTGATCAAACAACACTTGAAGAACGCCTTAAAAAAAACAGACCTCATTGAGTAATTTAAAATCACGCGTAAATTCAAACTTGTCAGTTTTTTTGTTTAACCATTACCATTAACTAGAACGCCAGCCGAAATTGTGAAGAACAACTCTTTTTCAAATAGAAATGTAGTCCTATGGAATGCGCTTTCCCAAAAAGCAGTAAATGAGACATCAATCAATGTTTTCAAACACAGTATAACAAGGTAACTTTTAGAGAAACAATTGCTGCTTTGTCTGTAGCGTCTGTATTTTTATTTTCGTCAGCATAGAGGGGCCTGGTGTAGAACCTCTTCATCAAACTATAAATAGATTTATTGTATTTTTTTTTTTATCACTGAATCATAGTTGTTAACAAAGCCAAAAGTAGAAAGGCCAAGACCACATATTACAAGGCAAAGGCCAAGGGCTCAATTTTTGGCCTTAAGGTAAGGCCAAAGCCAAGGACTAACAGCTCTGCACTGAATAAAAGGCAAAAAAAAAATTCTTCTAGATTGTTAAAATGACACACTGTGTGTCTATATTAATCTTTTCATTGGTAACATTTTTAATAGCAATAAAAATAAATGAGATTAGATTAAAGTTGGATTTGTATCAGAAAAAACAGCCGACGTTTCAGATTGTTTGACATACTTTGGCCTCAAGCATGTCTGCTAACTGAAACTTTCATCCAGTGGCGTAGGCAGGATTTTTAATATTGTTTTACATATAAAACAGTAAAAAATATTTTTACAACATAGTATAAATGAAAATTTATATCATAGTATAAATAAAAATGTTTTATAAAAAAATGCGATCCGTGAAACCTGTGAACAAAAACACTTTAAACACATTAAATATGGCCCCTCTATCAATTTTTGAACAGAATTTAACTTTCACTTAATATACTCAAACCGTTATAATCATGTAAAATTTATAAAAAATTATAACCATTTATTTAAATTTTCCGATTTTTTTATCTGAAACATTACGAAAGTCTGCCCACGAGACTGCTACATGCTTTTTAAAATCACAAATAATAAACTTGAAAAATTGAATATTAAATTTAAATCTAGTAAATCATTTAACAAACAAACAAACAAACAAAAAACAATTATATTCTATTCCGTTCAAAACAAAAAGAAATAAAATACCAATCGTAATACATGTTTTGTTTTTTTAAGCATAACGTTTATAAGCATATGGAGGCTCAGATTTGGAAAAAAATAAGCATATGTAAGCATATTCCTGAGCCTCGATAAACCATTTAAAAAATTAAAATTTTATTTATTTCATTATTTCATTTATTTCAAATTTTATTTATTTCATTGATAACATTTGTATATAGTATATATTTTTGATTTTTTATTATACTGTACTAAAGTCGACTTTTTATTTTTCCTTTAGTAACGCACGCATTTTTAGAAAGTATTGAAATAAGCATATTTTATTATAAATATGCTTAAGTTTAAGCATATTTTTGAGCCTCTTTTAACTTTTTGCTTAAGCATACCCGAGCCTGTTGCAAAAATTTCATATGCTTGTAAAAAAAAAACATGTACCATTGCTAAAAGTAAAATACAAAAATCGCAAAAAATGGTATTTTTATTTTTTAATTTTAAATGAAGGTAGTTATTAGAAATGCATATTGATGAGAATATTTTATAAAAAGCGGACCAAGTTTTTTTTTTTTTTTTTTTTTTTTTTTTTTTCTATATATTCAAACTAATATCTAAAATTAAAAAATTAGATTTATTAAAGTTAAAATTAAACAAGTTAATACTAAAGTTCTCTGTAAAAGTTCTTTAAAAAAATTTAGTTCTCAATTTTTTAAGGCAAGAAAAATAATTTTATAAAATATTTTACATAATACTCTGAAAGACGAATTAATATTCTCTGTGAATCTTTGTTTTTGTAATCTCTGTGGTTTTTTTTTCCGGATCAGGTAATCTGAAAAAAAAAAAAAACCCTACGAGAACATAAAAAAATAACCTAACAGTCTTGCGTAATCAAAACTTTTTATATCGGATTTTCGCAAATCTGGAATTTATGCCATTTTTTTGTTCTGTGTAGTGGTTTGAGTTCTGGTTGAAAACCGAGATTTAGAAGTCTTAGCAGCCGAAACACAGTAGCTAGAATTGTGGCTCAGAGCCTAGAGGTCCGAGGTTCGATGCCGGCTCTGGTTACAAAGTTCTTTTAACTCCATAACTCCCAAAAACAAACCTTGATGAACAAGGTCGCTGTGCGGAGAAACAAGTTGAGCGCGGTACTACCAAGGACATGGGGATTGAACTCGGCATATGAAGCGAGCGCTTTACCACTACACAAATAATTAATTTAAATTAAATGATTCGTATTCGTGACATTTAAAAAACCGAAAAATTGTTCTTCGACATTATAATGCCAAAGATCCCTATAACTTTTGAATGTCAAGAATATGATAGGCAAAGGTTTAACAAAAGCGATGCTGATATTTCCAGAGCAAAATAATTGGATATTAAAGACTGCAGAGGACAAGCTTATAATAATAGAAGCAATATAAAAGGAAAAAAAAAAAGGTGTGCAAACAAGAAAGTAAAAAAGTTAATAACCTTGCATTATATTTGTCGTGTGGCAATCATAATTTGAATTTGGTCATCTGCTTCATGCAGCTGCTTTATCAACTACAGTTACAACAATCTTCGGATTCTTTCAAAGAGTCTATGTATTTTGTTCTTCATTTACTCGTTGGTGGAAAATTCTTAAACAGCTATTCCAGCTTACCGTGAAACCATTGTTCAAAGCCAGTTAGGAATGTAGCGTCGATTACACAGAAGTTTTGCGTTTCCAAATCAAAGAAGCTTACAACACTTTGCTTGGGATTTGTGAAAGCACGAAAGAAAGTGCAACAGTTTCTAAAGGACAGAGTTTAGCAGACGACATTATTTTGTTTTCGTTTATTGTCTCTCTTGTGATTTGGTATTGATTGCTGATGGAAACAAACAAAGTGACCAAATTTTTGCAGAAACCTTATATAAGTATTTTTGTGGCCACTAAACTTGTGTAAACAATGCTTACTACTCTGACTAGTCTCCGAGACCATGGATTTAAGTAGTATGGTCTCCGAGACCATGGGTTTAAGTAGTCTTGCCGATGCCACTGCAATGCCGATGCCACTGCAGAAGAACTTGAAATTCCTTGAGTATTCCCAACATTGAGCTAAACGACTGTTTGGTTATAAAATGTCTGGAAACAAATTGATGATGGAAAGGAGCAATTTCAAATCGAATTCTTTATTCTGTTAATTGACGTGGCTCAACGACACCTCAATTAATGATTTTCGATGTTAAAAGACTTCAAGTCATGTCAATTTCAGTTTTCAATATGATTTTCAGCAACTGAAAACTCACTCAAATGATGATGTCATGAATTTTTCCACAAAGCTGTAAGTTGCTTTGACCTGACTTTAGGTCGAATTACTCAGATATAGATGCAACAGAATTAGCTAGTGAATTGAGTAACATCTGTTTGGCTTAACAATAAGATGTAAAATCTCCATTTGATATGTTAACGATCATTGATCAAAATGATTTGATTGAAATCTATTCAAATGTCTATGTTGCTCCTAAATTAATACTTACAACGCAAGAGAGTAGGATACATTTGTATTTTATGCATTCGAGATGTAAGTACAGTTTTAAAAACGAACGTTACTTTTAAACTTCCCGCTTCCCACAAAATTACGAAAGGACATGACATAACCGTTTGCCAATGCGTTTTTGAAGATGGATGCAGTCGTTCTGGAATTATTATTTGCAATTCCTCGAATTCAAATTTATACTTTCGCTTTTGTTTAAAAAATTTATCTTTGAACGATTCGAAATTAGTTTTATCTAAATTTTTTTGTTTATACATTTTATTCTCTATTTTACAATAAATTAGTAATACAAGCTATACAAAAAATATCTGAATTATATAAGTTATATATTATGATAAATATTTAGAGTTAATTTTTTCTGTAATATATTTGTTATAAACATGTATACGTAGTTATTGTCAAGAAATTGACCAATGTTCCAACTTTACAAATTGAAAAATGAATATCATTAAGATTGCAGAGGAGCAACTTAATATCAATAAAGGTGCTGATAAAGATGCAAGTTATGAAAATCATGATTTTGATCAACAAATAAACTTCGAAAGCTCAGGTAAGTTTGATTACATATTTCTTACAGATAAAAAAATTCACTAAATCTAATAGTATTGTTATTTTACAAGCAAATGAGCTGCAATTACTTGTAAAAAAATATTCTCATTTTAAATACTTTGGTATTTAGATACACAAAAGATTTTTGATGGAATCAAGTTCAATCACTCCTTCGGAGTTACAGATAGATGTTTAAGTGAAGAGGTTGTAGAAATTGATAACCAACAACAATCAATTAGTGAAAGTCAACAAGTCCTTTTCTTAACTGAAGATGGAAACCAACGAAATTTTGTTGACCAACAACATATATTTAAGTTTAATACGTATACAGAGTTTAAACAAACCCTTGCAGAATACGAAGCACAAACAATTACAAAATTTATTTTGAGAAATCAATCTAAACAGTTTACAGCTCCTGGTATTTTAATTGTAGTTTGTTTATTTAAAACAAAGATTTCTGATTCTATAAAAATTAATAGTTTGTATATAAAGTACATAATAATATTAGATATTTTTTTCTAATGACAAAGCAAAACATAAGGGTGAAAAACATAAGACGTGTTTTTCACCCATACTTATTAACTCAGTCACTAGATGAACGTTTATATGAAGATAATCTAATTTATTCTGTTTTCTTCATTTGTCTTAACAAATATTTAATAAACAAACTTAATATATATATATATATATATATATATATATATATATATATATATATATATATATATATATATATATATATATATATATATATATATATATATATATATATATATATATATATATATATATATATATGAATATGTATATATATATATATATATAAATATATATATATATATATGAATATATATATATATATATATATATATATATGTGTGTGTATATATTATATATATATATATACACACATATATATATATATGTGTGTATATATGTGTATATATTATATATACACACACACACATATATATATATATATATATATATATTATATATATATATATATATATATATATATGTATATATATATATGTGTGTGTATATATAATATATATGTAAATATATATATATATATATATATATGTGTGTATATATAATATATATGTAAATATATATATATATATATATATATATATATATATATATATATATATATATATATATATATATATGTATATATAAACATATATATATTCTGTATATATGTTTATAAACATATATATAATTCTACCACTTAGCTGATTTTTATTAATTTACAAATGATTTTTTACCAAAAACATTTAGTGTTTTTTAGCATTACAAGTAATGGTGTTAAACCAACAAATTAAAAAGATAATGTATGTAAAATATTGATTTTTCTTAAATCTACCACTATTTTAAAAGTAAGCCTCAAAGTGGTCGAATGTACCTTACCGGTGGGATACATTCAACCACCTAGAGGGTTACTTTCAACCATATTTAATGCGGTAGTGGTGTAGTGGTTGAGCGCTCGCTTCATAAACGAGTGGTTCCGAGTTCGATCCCCACCACGTCCCTGGTAGTACCGCGCTCAACTCGTTTCTCCGCGCAGCGGCCTTGTTCGTCAAGGTTCGTGTTTCAGAGTTATAGAGTTGAGAGAGGGTTATAGCCACAAAATAAGTAGCCTCCTCGTCTGTAGTGGCCTTCTCGGCCTTGAGGAGGTGAAGTAAAATAAATAAATAAAAAAAATATATATATTATTAGCAAAATAATAAACCTATAAACTTTCTTTCTTATAAATGTTTTATTATACAATAAAAATTTTCCACAAAATATTTAAAAACAAATAGTAATGCTGTTTTACATCAAGATTTGCAAAGTTATATTGAAATAAAAATAAGGATGCTTTTCTTTCTGTCTTTGTTGAAGTCGCAGACTTTAAAAGCACTTTTTTTCGGTTTGATGACTTTTCTTCTTTTTTTTAAATTTTTTCCAAATGTAGTTTTTAATCTTTCCTATTTCAGAAGTGTTAGCATATATCATTGACTTGATTTCCTCTTTATTTATTTTGTCTTTGACATGTTTTAGGCAAGGGCTGCACATGTTCTGGAATCAATTTTCAATTGTTAGAGTTATTTTAGTAGTTGCAGGAGGAATGCGTTTCTTTGGTAGATAAGAGTGGTAAATTATTTTGTAATGGTGTACCTATTACCTATTGACTTTCACTTGGTTCTCCCATTAGGGTTCTATTTGTGACATATCTGCCCATGAAATCTTTTTGCAGCTTGTGGTTCAGATAGTGAATTATTGAAAATACTAATAATTTTTCTAATACCACATTTTTATTTCTTTTATTTCTATATGTTTTCCTTACATATTTTCAAGGCATCTAAAAGATAAGAGAAATAAATTATTGTGGTATTTTCAAGCACCGGTCGAATGTTCCCCAGCTAGTTAGGTCGAATGTACCCTACACCTGTTATATATAAACAAACGTTGTTAAAAGTAAAAGTCAATTTTTTAAAGTAAACCAAATACAAAGGTTTTTACCTCAAGATATCATTAAACAATAAGCAAAAAAGTTTAGGAGGGTAAAATTGAAAATAAGATTCTCTGCGGGTTACTTAAAACATAAAAAATTACCTTTTGCATTAATAATTAGATTTTCTTCTATTTAAGTACTAATACTAATAAAGATGGAACAATACTTATTTCCTGCGATAGCTTATTAACAGACAAAACATGGGTAAAAATTTTAAATAGTAATTTTTATCATGTGGGGAAGTATTTGAAAAGGTCGAATTTTCTCCATGGTCGAAGGTTCCTTGTCTTCCCTTATATATATATTATATATTTATATATATAATAAAAATTTAAAATGAATAAAATTAGCAGAATTCAGAATTTTAAATTATCAATAAAATTTATTATGTAATAGAATGAATTAAGAGTTATCTAAATAAGTATTTTACTTTTATGAATAAAATAATACTGTACATGGACAGATGCAGCATTTTTTGATGTTTGAGATGGCTTTCTGACATGGAACAAACTCCAAACATTTAAATGTTTGTACTTTTGTCAAATGTGAATGCTTTGCAATAAAAACCCCTAAATTTTGGCCACAACTACCCTAAACGTGAGAGCAACAAGTTGATGAAATATTTTTGTAATTGTTGTAAATGTTGCATAGGTTTTTAAAAATTATTTTGAAACAAAATTAATATCATAATATGATATTAATTTTCAAATACTTAAATATACCAAATTATTTATAAATAATATCATAAGTGTATTTGAGTCATACAATACACATTTTCATAACCAGATTTAATCAATTGTATTTCAAAATTACATTTATCGCATTTTCATAATCACCTTATTGTATCCTACTTATTACTGAATTATTGGTTATTTTAGGAATTTTTTAGGTTTAATTAATTTTTTAGGTTATTTTAAAATTGAATTAATACTGAAGTATAAGGTTATTTTGAAAAATTGCAAAATTTTATCAAGACAAAAAGATGTTTTGTAGTTTTTTTTATAATTGTTATTAATAAAGAAAATAAATATTATTATTATTTTTTTTATCAATTTTTTTTATTGATTTATGCAAAGTAGATAAATAATTTAGTAATAGAAAAATTATAATAGAAAAGAACAAAAAAAGAAAAAAAAATTAAAAAATACTTACCGTTTAGTCACACATGAATGAGTTCAATTAACTAAGTTTACAATGCATTTTTGCACCTAATCTAAAAAAAAAAAAACATGGATAGAAAATTTAGACATAAATACAGCATTTGAAGAGTCTAGAGGAAAAGATGTATTATTTTTCATATATATGATATATAATCATATTAGTTTTGAGATATTAAGTTTTTAAGTTTTCAAACTGTTTATTTTTATTACTAAGTAATTTAAAAATAATTCTGTGTTAATATCTGTTTTATTAAGGTATAATAAATATTATTAATAAATTTAATAAATATTATTAAAGTTTGAAAAATACGAGTTTTGTCACTCTGTATTTGAAGAAATGAACTTTTCTGTATAAAAAATCTATTCAAACTCACCTTTGTTTTCATTGCAAATCAAAAATATCAGGTTTGTTTGTAAACTTTTAAAATACCTAAAAATCTTTAAATTTATCCATTAAAATATTTAGTCTCTCAGTATACATGTTTGAAGGATTTTCTAATAATGGCAGTTTTTTTTATTACTTTACTCTTAAATTTCTACCAATAAATGTATTTAAATATGTGTTATTCCAAGAGTCTCTATATAGCATATTTTCAGAAGAGTTAACAGAAAAAAGTCTAATAACTGCAGGAAATCCTGCTTTGTAGAGAGGATTTAAGAAAAATGTGTTTTTGACTATATATTGTCAAATATATGTTCAAATAAGTGAAAAAGTGTTAGTTTTATAGGATCATCTTTAAGTATTTTAACTCGATCAGAAGTATATTAACTTGATATTTGTAGTTAATGCGACCCATAACTTTGCCACATTCCATATGGGAGTTTTCTTTTTTAGGAAAGATAAATTTACCGGAGTTTTATTAATAGGTTTTAATTATGAATTTAAACCTATATTTAATTTATATAGCATTGATCACTTCCAGGGTTGGAAAAAACCCAGGGTTTTTTAAAAAAACCCAACCCAAATGGGTTTTTTTGGGTTTTATTGGGTTTTATGGGTTTTTTGGGTTTTTTTAAAAATCGATCAAAATACCAAATTTTTATAATTTGTATGAGTACAATAATTTTTTTTTTTTTAATTTCATAAATTTACCTCCCTATTGCTCCAATGACCATTTCAGTCAAGGGAGCAACTCATTTTTTAAAAATATTTTGTCTCAATCCTTAACATTACCATTTTTACTAACAAACAACATTAACAACTAAAATTTTTAAACAAAGGCGCTGTGTGGAGAAATAGATTGAGACAGTAATTTCAGCAGAGGTAATTTGAACCCCAACCTTCTGGTTGTGAGCCAAATGTTTTGCTACTAGTCTACTAGCACATTTTACCTATAGTGCAAAAAGGGGCTCCATCAACTATAAATGATGTTAATTAATTGCTCTAAATTAAAAACATGTTCAGAATATTTTTGACTAAAATAAAATCAGTGTAAAAATCATGACAATTGAGTTATTCAAAGTTGGTAAGACAATATAAATGTTGCAAGCTAGTTTTTTTTACTAACATGTTCAACATATCATTTCAAAAACTACTTTGCACAAGTTTACAACGTGTAATCAACAAGTTTGCAACATGATGTTACAAACTTATAAGTTATTATCAATCAGGATGACTATGAACACTTTTTAAACATTTTTGTATCATAAAAGAAAACTGCTAGCCTAATCACTACATTTTTTTTTATCAGAACATTATACTGTCCAGCTTCCTGGAAAAGTTATCGGCCTGATCAACTGGACTGGCAAAAAATGGATTTTTGCCTAAACTTTGTTTCTAAATATATATAAAGTAAATTATTTAAGAACCATACAGTGTCTTTGCCACCAAGTTTTTTTTTTTCCTTGAAGATGTTTTACCGGCTCAGTTTTGCAATGCAAATTGCAAACTGAATTAAAGTAACACATTATATAGCTCTATTGTGTGTGTGTTTCTTCACCTTTTAGCAACTTGATACTGATGTTAATTTTTAATCCGCTGTTCATAGTCACCCCTGTTGGTGGTACATGTTGTAAACTTGTAGCTGATGCAAAATATTCAAAACCTGTCAAAAGACAGATGAGTGTCATTTTTACCAACAAATCTTGTCCTTGTGAAATGCATACAAGTTTTCAACATGTTCTCTCGTTGAATGAGCAAACATGTTGCAAGCTTGCTTGCACATAACTTAATTTTTTTTTAAGTTTTAAAGTTGTATGCACTTAAGGACAAATCTAGTAAACTGTAGTATTTTTTTTTTGCCTGACAACTTTCCATTTCTAAACTGTAAATAAAGTTTAATAATTTTTATATATAGTATTTTGCTTGTGGCTTTGTATTTTTTTTTTTTTTTTTGCAGTTAACAACATAAAAAAAAAAAAGATTAAATACCAATATAAAGGAATATAGACATTCGGGAGGAGAATAAAGATACTAAATAACTAGTAATGTCTTGAAATTTAGTTAATAGAATGATTTTTATTTCCTTTATAAGTATTTAACTAATTTAATGTTTTAATACATATTTCAATAACATTTATAATAACTTGCTAAATGTTTTAAAAAAATAATAAATAACCAACTTGCTACAAAAACAGATTGATCGATTTTGGGTATATTCTAAAGACCATTATGTATATAAATACAGTGTTTACAAGAGTAATTACAGTATAAAGGTTGCACTTGCTGATAATAAAGCATTTATAAGTGTTAAAATCAGAGATATCAGTTGTAAAATAGGTCATTTTAAAAAAAACCCAAATATATTTTGGGTTTTTTTGGGTTTTATTGGGTTTTTTTAAGGTGGGTTTTTTTGGGTTTTTTTGGGTTGGGTTTTTTTGGGTTGGGTTTTTTTGCCAACCCTGATCACTTCACCTGCACCCTTTTTGGTTACAATTTCATTATAACTATAGATAAAAACATCTTTTCTAGTCAATAAATGTTGAGGGAAAAAAACAACAATTTTCTTCTATAAAAAAAATCATTCATAGAGTTATTTGACGCATTTAAATTTTTTTGATAGTTAAAATTATTCACTCCAAAATTTTTCTCTTTTATTACTTTCAATCTTGATTATCTTTTTTTTTCATAAAAAGTTTTCGTTTTTTTTTTATTTGTACAAATTTCTTTTAGGTTCAAGTTTTTTAAGATAAATTTTAAAATATAAATTTTACAATAGTAAAAGTCCAGCTATAAATAAATCTTGCATTTCTTTTCACACTGTTAAATGATTTTAATAAATAAGTTTTGTTTATTTCTTTTATAACTTAAAAGCATCTAGTACAGTTACAGTTTAGATCTGTTTTATCAGCTGAAAGTTTCTGTTTTTTTCTGAATTTGTGATGACTCTTTTTTAAACTTTGTTTAAAAATATAAATATTGAATTACAAATACTGCTTACATTCTGTTCTCTGATATATATTAAAAGATTTTGTTTTTATCTTCATTTAAACAGAGCTATTATGTTTGTGGTTTTTCTATCAACTGTTTTGTTTTTTGATTTATCTGCTTTTACTTTCTGATTTTAATAACTATCATTTTCTACCTTTAATAATGTAGTTATAGTTTAAAGTTTTAATAATGTTTCAAATTATTAAAACTTAAAACAATTTTTAAATTGTTACATTGGTATGTAGTTGTTATGGTATTGCAAATAACTGGCTGCATTGCTTGAATTTAAGAGAACATAACAAATGATAAGACACATGAATATAAATGACACATGATGATAAATAAATGCTGACTGTTTTTATACAATTTAGGGTGATATTATTTTCTGTTTAAATTTAACAACAGCTTGTTGTAATAAAATTTTAATAAAACAGCATTTTTTTTAAACTTGTAATTATTGTTGTTAAAAAATGTATTTTTTTTTTGCAATTAAGAATAAATGACTCTAAATGATTCTATGATTTATGTAGTATAGTATTTAAAATTTTAGCATTTAAGAATTTAAAAAATCCAGGTTAAGATAACGTAAATATTCTTTAGGGCTGTAGAAGTCACCTTATTTTAAAAACAATTGCTAATAAATGAAACATCTGTTCACTTATCTACCATTTCTTGTGTTCTTGTGTCTTTATGTTTTCTAGTTTTAATATTTCTCATTTATTTTCAATTTTAAAATCAATTAAATAATGCTACACTACTTTTCAATTTTATAATTGGTTGCAGTTTTAAAATTACTAGATAATGCTATGTTTCTTTTCAATATTCTAACAATTGGAATTAATATATTGCAACTTTAAAATCAATGATGCTTCATTATGTTTCACTACATTTCTTTTTTTAAAAGCTACGCTACTTTTGAAATATTTAGCCACAATTACAAAGATTTTGTCAGTTGAATTTGAACGCAAATATTTTATACTTTATGTAAAATTATTTTATGTTATAATTTGCTTAAAACAATTTTATAGATAAATTTTATTTAAACAATTTTATGTCTAGTTAAGTCTTTTTTTTAGTGCTTTTTACATTAAAATCTTTTAGTTTGTCTGCATGATATTTTACGGAACGAAAAGAATTATTCAGATTTACCAATGATTCGTTGGGAATTTTGTGCTGCTAAAGATTTCCTTCCCATTCCATTTATGGGAATTCCTTATATTACAGTTGGAAAACAAGTTTTCCAATGTCACCAAGGTAATATATTTTTAAACTTTAATAATTTTCAAGCTTTGAAAATTTTTAACCTTAAATTTATAAGCTTTATATGTTACAAATTAAAAAAAAAAAAAAAAAAAATATTATATGTTTTAAATTTCATAGGAAAAGATTATAATACTAACAAAAAGCAACAGTATGAGTTGAAAAAGGAAATTCTTAACCAGGCTACTCGCATTCAAATTAAATCACGTAATAAAGGACCTTCAAAAAAGCTTGATTGTCCAGTGTTATTTGCTGTTCGAAAACTTTACTTTTTTCCTGAGTATCCTTTAGAAAATGATACTAAACGAAATCGAGCTTTGATAGCTCAAAATTTACGTGCACATCTTGCAAAGATTAAACTAGAAAAGTGTGTTTGTGTAAAGTCTGATGACAATTATGAAAATGTTGCATTAACTAACCTTCCTGGAAAGCTTGAGTTTCTTACTCGCTTTCCTCCAAATAATGAACATAATCACAGTGTTGCAAAAGCTGCTAGCTTCATAAAATTGCAAATGAAGAAACTTGTTTCTAAGGCTACTGAAAACACTATAAAGAAAGTGGTAAGTAAATTATAGAATAGAAATATAATAGAAACAAGGTCGCCAATTTTTTTGCCGACCTCAAGCACTTTCAGGTTGGCAGTTAGGTTGGCATTCGGCAATGCCGACCCTGATTCCGAGGGTTACATATATATATATATATATATATATATATATATATATATATATATATATATATATATATATATATATATATATATATATATATATATATATATATATATATATATATATGTATATTAGGGTGTGTCAAATTTACAAGTAAAAGGAAGTGAAAGTTGAGAAGTTTTATGGAGAATCTAAATCTTATTAAATTTTTCAAATCAGAAAAATATTTACTCTGATGTCACTTATTACTTTTTTTAATTTAAGTGTATAAATATTTACTCAGGTGTATAAATATTACCAGGTTACTCAGGCCTTTTTATGAAAGTATAAACAGTTTAAACAGAACTTTTTAAACAGTTTAAACAGAACTTCTTATGAAAGTATAAACAGTTTAAACAGAATAGCAATGTTACCTGCAATATTGTTTGTAAACAAAATAGACTTTTAAACAACAAAACAATTACATTTAGTTTATAAAAAAATTATTTAACTTAATATATATAAAATATTTAAAAAATTTTTGTATTAAATGCTTAAAATAAGTTTTAATTTTTTAAAAAAGGTTTACTCAAACATATTTTTATCTTAATGATAGTCAGTAAATTATTTTTTCATTCTCACAATAAGTAAACAACTGTGAACTGTATAAATATACAATTAAATATAAAATATTGTTGATAAATTTAAAAATTTTTAATCAATTGCATTTTATTTTTTATAATATAATTTTTTTTTTTAATTTCTAAAAAATAATAAGTTTTCTTTATACTTTATAACTTGGAGGAATAATGGCACCCAAAACCAGAATAAGTAGTAGTACACAAATTAGTGTTGCATCTGGAACAGGAAAACAGTTTCTAGTTTCAAAATTACCAATCAAAGTTATAAGATATGGAAGAAATGTTAAAAGATATGGAATTTTATTGGGAGAGGGCTGCAAAGACAAAAAAAAATGGAAAAGAGATGGCTAAAGTAAAAAGAGATGGCTAAAGATATACTTTCAGCTTTGTTACACCAGTGGTCGACTGCAAGTTTGGAATTTATATCACCTAAATTAATTACTGACAAAACAATTTGTGATAAAATAGTGGAGTAGTGGAACATTGCTTCAGCAATAGCTTGTCCAACAAAAAAAGGAGCTAAACAACTAATAAACTTTAAAGAAAAACTTGATAAACTTTTTGATATCCTAGTATGCAAATGTCCAATTATAAAATGTGATGATTTTATTTGTTCTGATGATTGTGATAAAGAAGTTCATTACAAATGCAAATGTATCAAAGAATACAAAATACCATCTATTGACAGTAAGTTTATATATTTTCAAAGAGTTTAAACTGGAACTGTTAGCAAGCTTAAAATTAGATTACCTGATAACATTGAAACCAAAAAACAATTTAGAAGATTACTTAGAAAAGATTGAGAAAAATGTTTTGAGAATAAAGACAGCAATGTTATTTTAATTAAAAAAAAAAAAAATCGAGTTAGATGAGATTAACTATCAAAAAGAGAGTCAATAATGATTTTTTTATTTAAAATTATTTTCTATGTAAATTCTCCTCACATAGATATGGGGTATCTGCACAAGCTACACCTGCAACTGCTAGAGCAACACTTATTGATGCAGGATTAAAAGAGAGAAAAATTTGTTCAAACTCAAGAGGTGAGTAAAAAATTAATGCCTAAAAATAATAGTAAACAAGACCTTGAAAGTTTGACACAAATGTTTTTGCATTAAATTTATATCATTTATTCAAACAATTAGGTATTTTTTTAAATTTTTTGCTGTATTTCTAACATCAATACTAATAAAATTTCTACGCAGTGTTAAGCCTATTAAAAATGTTAAATCTATTTAAAATACACTAAATAATATTTTATTATTTAAATTATTATTCATATTAAAAATTAAATTCAAAGTCTAATTTTAAAATAAAAATATTTCTTTTAAATTTTATACAAGTTCTTAAAAAAAATATATTTATATCAAAATTAGTATTAATCAACATTTAAATCCCAACTGATATTTGTCAAATAAAGTAAAAAAAAGTCTTTTAATGTTTAAGTAAAAACCAAGTTTTTTTAGAAACCAGATCAAAATTTTATTGAAATATAAAAAATTAAATCACCTAAGCAAAAAATGTTTTAATTCAAATTTTAAAATCATATTTGGGTTCTCCATCAAATTCTGCAACTTTTAGTAACTCCCCAATTATTTTCTTGAAAAAAATTTAAAATCCACACACCCTAATTATATTTTTCATTGAATACTTAGATGGAAACCAAATATTATTACGAGTACTTGGCATTATCTGCTAGATCTTGCTTTGAGTTACTTTTTTTGAGGCGACTATCCATTTTTTCTTAAAATCTTTTTTATTTGTAGCTAATTTCTTGCTTTTCAATAAGGTTCCTTTTATAATTGACCAATAACTTTCAATAACTAGCTGCTCAGGACAATTTAGAGGCTTACCATTCTAGAGACCTCTTGTAGTAGTGAATAACGAATATAGTAGTAGTTTTGTAGTATAAATATTGTGAGCATTTCATGCATTTTAATAAATAGCAAAAGGCATTTCTTTTGGCATTGTTTTATATTTAAATTTGTTTTCAAAGTTTTACAAGTAATGTATGGTGTACTTTTTAAACCACAAGAGCAGATTGCTTCCCATTTTAATTTACTTGAATTTTTGAAAGTCCTTTTTGCAATAGGTTTCATAGTCTTCAATTATGCACAAGTTTTCTCAGTTTAAAAGTTTTTTGAAGCTTTTTTGGAGTTTTTTTTTTTATGACATGCTTTATATTCTTGAGATCTAAGTACTTTATCTTTATCAATGCTTTATCTATTTATCTATTTATCTTCAATCTTTATCTTTATCAATGCTTTATCTATTTATCTATTTATCTTCAATCTTTATCTTTATCAATGCTTTATCTATTTATCTATTTATCTTCAATCTTTATCTTTATCAATGCTTTATCTATTTATCTTCAATCTTTATCTATCAATTCTTTATCTATTTATCTATTTATCTTCAATCTTTATCTTTATCAATGCTTTATCTATTTATCTATTTATCTTCAATCTTTATCTTTATCAATGCTTTATCTATTTATCTATTTATCTTCAATCTTTATCTATCAATGCTTTATCTATTTATCTATTTATCTTCAATCTTTATCTATCAATGCTTTATCTATTTATCTATTTATCTTCAATCTTTATCTATCAATGCTTTATCTATTTATCTATTTATCTTCAATCTTTATCTATCAATGCTTTATCTATTTATCTATTTATCTTCAATCTTTATCTATCAATGCTTTATCTATTTATCTATTTATCTTCAATCTTTATCTATCAATGCTTTATCTATTTATCTATTTATCTTCAATCTTTATCTATCAATGCTTTATCTATTTATCTATTTATCTTCAATCTTTATCTATCAATGCTTTATCTATTTATCTATTTATCTTCAATCTTTATTTATCAATGCTTTATCTATTTATCTATTTATCTTCAATATTTATCTATCAATGCTTGGCTGCATTTAAATTTTCTTGCAAGATATCTCTGCAACTGACATGGATTTGCCTTTATTGAGCAAATGGTTGATTTTGCTTTATATTTATCTTTAAATTCTTTATTTTTTCCACTTCCAGCTTCTCTTTCAATAGATTGTGCCTGTTTATATCGCCGCAAAATAAATCTAACTGATAATCAAAAAACACCGGTCAATATTGAAATGTCAACTTGTGACAATGAAGAATTTTGAAGAAAAATTTAAAAAAATTTTTTATTTAATATTTGTTTAATCATTTTAATCTAATAACGAATGATAACTAATACTTATTCCCATTACAATCAAACAAAAACACATTAGCTTCTGTGTGCAAAAAATTTAAAAGATTTGTCAAGTAGTTTTTGAGTAATTAGCAATTAAACAGTACTGAACTAAATTGGGTTAAACCGATATTAAGACATTTTGAGATTTAAGTTAAGTTTAAATTAAAGTCTTATAATAAATAGTTATTCTAAATCTCCAACTGAATATATTTGGGCATGTATTCTTTTTTAATTTTTTTGTTAGTATTAGGAAAAAGGGAAAAAACTAAGTTTTTTATCATTTTACATTCAATTCCATTAGTAAATTGGTTTGGCTTAGGGCAGCAGTTATTTCTTTCATTATTCTTAATTTTTTTCTTCTTTTTCTAAAATAGCTGTATGCTATAAAAATGAGCAAATATAGTACACATTTGCTAATCTATATACACTATAGTATATATATACATATATATATATATATATATATATATATATATATATATATATATATATATATATATATATATATATATATATATATATATATATATATATATATATACACTATAGTATATATATATATATATACATATATATATAAATACATACAGGCCTCAGCAGGAATGTAATTCCTGCTGAGGCCTGTATGTATTTATTCGGGTATTCCCACTCTATGCCTGACCAAGTATTTAATGTTTAGTTATGACAACTTGACTATGGCTTTTTAGATGTTTGATAATATTATCAAACATGTGAGAAGCCATGGTTAAGTTGTCACAACTAAATGATAAATGCTTGGTCAGGCTTAGAGTGGGATTACCCGCCATTCCTGCTAAGGCCTGTATGTATATATATATATATATATATATATATATATATATATATATATATATATATATATATGTATATATATATATATATATATATATATATTTATATATATTTATATCAGCTCTTGGTTGAGTAAAGGCTAGAGATGGTGTCTCGATAAAAATAATCATTTTGGGCAGATGTTAAATCGATCTGGCTGCTGTCTTGTAAATAGTCTCCTAGGCAAAGACTT